TCTGTTAAACAAATCAATCGTGTGTCCGATTAGCACTTTGTTCGTAGTGATCGTTTTATGTTATAAAAGAAAATAAGAGAGTTTTTTTTTTTTTTTTTTTGCAAAAGGAAATCGAGACAAAATTATGATTCGGTAACATTAATAAAAACCAAGGGGCATCAATACACAAATAAACGAAAAAAGCGCGACACGACCTTGCAGAAAAAAAAACAGAAAAAGGGGGATATTCAGGTGATACCCTTTTGGTAAACAATAACAGTCATTTGAAAATTTCGATGAACAACAAAAGAATTTAAAATGATTGCAAGTTTTTATTTCTTCATTTGTTCATATTAATTATATATTTGAAATAAAATCGACTGCGGTGCACTCGATATGGTTCAATGTGAACCTGTCTTCACATAATTTTCTTTTTTTCTCATTAACCTAGTAAGAAATAAAAACCCAAAAACAAGAAACTAATAGGAGAGGACTACATTTTGAAATATAATAAATATAAAACTTGCCATTATTAGCTGCTATAACTATATCCTCTTTGTAATTCACACTGAAATCGAATATATCTGAATACACAATTGATTTTAATCCAGTCTGAAACAACACAATCACTGATAACGACATCACTTTCTTCGTTTTTTACATTAAGAATATACTCTCATCGTCTTTTTGAAACACAAAACGCATGTAAAGGTATTCAAGGAAATTATTTAGAGAAGTCCTTGCGCACGCAAAAATCATGATACGCATACGCTGTGTCTTTATCGTCATGTAGCAATACATGTTGTTTACCTTCAGCTGTATTTTCTTTTTGTCTATTGTTTAATCTGAGCTACTGTTTAAAGGGGCCAACATGTAGGAAAAATTTTAATATAAAGAAAGTTTATTTACAAAACAATTTTCACACTTGATGGAAAAAAATCATACCAAAAGTTTGTATTTGCTTGCATTTTTTCACCTTTTTGACGTGTTAAGCAATGTTTTAAGTAAGATATAAGCCTCTAATAGTCCATTCTGTAATATATTGAACTGTCCAATATTTTAAAGAATGGACTGTTATCGGCTTATATCCTTTACATCATTTACAAAATTTGATTCAATATCAGCCTATAAAGGCTGATTTAAAAGAAGAAGACTATTAATTCAGTAGCAAATTGTTATGTCATTTTTATCACATTTTTTCTCACATTATCTCAAAAAGTCAGGATAATGTCCCTTTATAGGATTGCAGTAAACTAAGTAGATGACTGAAATTTTCTTGAAATTTTCTTAATTGTGGCATTTTTAAGTCCTACAATTTTAATAAGTTCAAAATAGGTCAAAAATAGCGATACATGATAAATCAAACTGTTGGCACAGCGATATATGTCAATTGTATTTAAATTCTTAATAGTATACACTAGTAAACCAATATAGAACGGACTGTTTTGAACGCATGAAATTTAAAACGTGTGGTTTTCATTTTTTACAAAACTTTGAATTGTTCGAAATACAAAGGATTTTCTACCAAAGGAAAAGATAAACTCAGCTGTATTTAGCAAAACCTTTCATACTTTTGGTTCTTTTGGTTCTCTTAATATTCGTACTTATTTTTGCATTTTACTTTTTTTATTTGAGCGTCACTATTGAGTCTTTTGAAGAAAAAACGACCGTTTGGTGTACAAAATTATACGCTTGGTATATTTAAGGAGTTTTTTTTATCTGAACAGAACAATTATTTCTAGACATGTTCAGTCTTTTAGTTACTTTTCTATTTATCCACTACGATACATTCAGTACTGTTTAGATATTTCGCTTGAGGTCAAAGAATATCTGTTCAGTCTATGTCCAGACTTTTCAGTCGCGGTTATTTACCTGTACAAAACAAAACTATACTGAATTTTCTGAAAAGGCACAAAACAATACTGGATTAACTGCATGAAAATATCGGGAAAATATCTTAAACTTTTAACAAGGGTTGACATTTTAGTTTCAGGCTTTTTAGTTGATCAAGATCAAATGCCCTTTTAAGACTTAAATTCATTTACTAATGACACTGCCAATGTTAAAATTTAAACAGCAACACTTCAACGTGTAAACAATGCAAAACTATAAAAGACAATGTGCCATGACTGAGAGGTCATGATAAATGACAAGACAGGAAATTAAATATGCACAACTACATACTAAATATCATCAACTTAAACAGACCTTATCACAAACTTTAACAAATCTTTAATGCCTTAAACATCATTCCTAACTTTCTCACTTTGACTTCTCATGGAAGACAAAATCTCAAATATGATGTAATAGTAAAATATATTATATAACCTCATGATCTTCAAGCAAGGATGACAAACGAGAAGAAAATTGTATCATTCAGGACTTAAAGTTAAATATTCAGAAATAGCTCGAGGATATGCTCATCAGAGCAGAACACTATGTAACCTGGAACTATTCTTCGTTCAATTTTAAACCAAACATCTACTCAATATCTTTAACAAGCAAGCACACGTTGAAATGTCTCGTCTGCTTTATTGACCATTGATTTTATATTGAAAGTCTTAAAGATAAAGGTTTTACTTTAAGTATCAAATAAACTTCATCATTTTTAAAGATCTATGACAATGAGGTCAAGGTCAGATAAATCCTGTCAGACAGACATGTACACCTTACAATTATTCCATACACCAAATATAGTTGACCTATTGCTTATGGTGATTGAAAAACAGACCAAAACACAAAAACTTAACATTGACCAATGAACCATGAAAATGAGGTTCAGGTCAGATGATACCTGCCAGACAGACATGTACACATTCCCATTGTTCCATACACCAAATATAGCTGACATATTGCTATTACTATATGAAAAACAGACCTTAACACAAAAACTTAAAATTGACCAATGAATCGTAAAAATGAGGTCAAGGTAAGATAATACCGGGAAAGCCAACATGTACACCTTACAATCATTCCATAAAGCAAATATAGTTGACCTATTGCTTACAGTACATGATATAAAACAGGCAAAAACACAAAAACTTAACATTGACCAATGACTATAAAAATGGACTCAAGGTCAGATGAAACCTGCCAGACTGACATGTACCTCGTACTATCATTCCATACACCACATATAATTGATGTACTGGTTATAATATCTGATAAACGGACCTAATCATGTAACATTAACCTTGATCACTAATCCATGAAATGAGGTCGAGGTCAGATGAACCCTGTCTGGCCGACATGTAGACCCTTTTGATGATCCTATATACCAAATATAGTTATCCTAATACTCATAATAAGTGAGAAATTCACAAAACAAAAAATAAAAAAAATTTCAACCAGTCGCTGAACCATGAAAATAAGGTCGAGGACAATGGACATATGACAGACAGAAAGTTTGTAACCTAAGGTATCTGCATACAAGGTATGAAGCATCCAGGTCTTCTACCTTCTTACAGGCGAGACAAAAATACAGGAAAAGAGACAAAACTCTTATACAATTGGATATTTTTTGGGTCAACTGGCAATACTGTGGTTAAAATAAAGTTAACAACAGTAATAAAGGCAACAGTATTATACCACTGTTCAATAATCATAAATTGATTAAGTGATTAACTTATGTTATATGTAACTAATCATTATACTGATTTAAACCAAAATATAATCTGAAAATCCCCTTCAAAAATTGAAAATGTAGTAGAAAACTGTTTTTCATATTCATTTTTTTTAAGTTCAATTGCCCTGATTAAGTCAACAGAAGACAACCAAGATTAATCTATGCAGTTTGAATGGAACTTTTAATTACACATCTAACAACAAGCTGTGAGATTGACAGCAAACCGGATCCCTGTATGACAATGATATTTGCAAATCTGGACCCCCAAACAGGATCAAGTAAAACAATAAATGAATTTTTGTAAGGTTCAGAAATGGAAAGGCCAAAATCAATCTAAGCATCTCTTTTCGCTACTTGAAGGTCTACAACTCAACAAGGATAAAAGTTAAAATCGTGAAAATCGAGTTTGACCTTCATTTAGTTACGGGAAACAACATATTTAGACTTGGAAAAGATTTCGTCAAATTATTTTCAAGTAATTGCATGGACAACTCTTTAAGTATCAATTTTCGCTACTTAAAGGTCTACAACTAAACAACGATAAAAGCTAATATTATGAAAATCGAAAAAAGATTTCGTCAAAGCGTTTTCAAGTTATTGCATGGACACTGCATGGAAGCTGCCCATCCAGCCGCCTGCTGTACATCACCAAATTAACCTTTGGAAATTCAATTAAAAGTTACACTTACATTAACAGGCTAGGAGTGACCCTGTGATTTCAGCAAGGATGTTTTTGAGATAGAGGGTTGCTGCTTACTAGGAAGCTAATAAACAAAGAGTTTCAAGTGGTGAAGTTATAATCATCACTTCCAAAATTTTACAGACACCCCCACACGTTAGACTGTTATTGACTGTAATGCAATACTGTTTCACAGAGAACCACAGATATCTTCCAATTGTCGTACCTACAATCATGTCCTCTTTTCCTCAAATGTGATCTACTGTATTAGACTTACCAGGTTTGTACTTTCCTGAGCAACACAACGGGTGCCACATATGGTACAGGATCTGTTTACCCTTTAGGAGCACCTGAGATTACCCCATTTTTTGATGGGGTTTCATTCTGCTCTGTCTGGTTTTCTATGTTGTGTTTTGTAAACTGCTGTTCGTCTTTTGATCATTTTTCGTTTTTGCCATTGCGTTGTAAGTTTATTGTCGACTTATGAGCTTGAATGTCCTTTGGTATTTTTTGCCCCCTTTTAGAAGAGAAAAAAATATTAATGAATAAGAGATGATAGTGATGGTAATAACAATGGATAATATGCTCCCTGCATTTAGCCATCAGAGCTTTCAAAAATGAAAACAACATGTTAAAAATTTCACGTGTCAAAGTCCTTTCTGGATTTACCTTCATCAGGAACACTAAAAGGTGATTATTTGACATTGGAAAAACACATAAATCATAAATATTTTATTTACAACATATCTTAATAAAGTCTTCAGAAAATGTCAGTATCTAAAAAGCTATCTGTCTACCTCTCCAAACACAATGTCGAGTGTTCCTGAAAATATAAGGAAACAACACATCAATTAACTGAAAATATTTTATAGAATTTTTTTGTATATCTAAAATTCTTGCGATAGGAGTTTTCAAGCCATTAAAATAGTAAAACAACTTAAATAAAGTTAAATTCATCAAATGGAAAAATCACTATTAAATACCGAATATCCTATGTGATTTTTTCGTCTAGACAGACAATGCAATGTGATTTTATAGGGAATACAAGATTCATAGTAGAGCAGTGAAAGAGACTTTTTCATTATTAAATATATTTTTGGTGGACACTTGTCATTATATCGATTCAAAAAACAAAGCTCAAAGCCTAAAAATGTATTCTTCATTTATTAAAGGGAGGTAATCAAAATTCTCTTTTCAAGCAATTTTATATAAAGTTCAGACAAATATTAAAGCCACAATCAAACCTGTATTAAGCAGTCACTTGTTGGAAGTATCAAAAGTGACCACTCAAGAGAGGTGAACTCTTAAATGAGTGTTTTCAATAGGTAGAGTTATCATTCTTGCTAGCAGATAAATATAAAATGAAGGATACCGGCACTCTTAATTTAAAGAAAACATTCTAAATAGTTAGTATTCATGGAGAAATAGGTCAATGATACAGTTTTCATTAGAAACTGAAAGGATTGGTTAGCAGCAGGTGACCACTGAAACAAGGTGACAGTAATGGCAGGTTTGAATGTATATGTTTTAAAATAAATCATAATATGCTTTAAAATGTCTTGTAATTAAATAAATATTTGTTGATATGAAATAGTTAACATGTTATTTTCTACAAATATCATTACAAACACTGAATAAAGTGAATAAATGTGTTTCTCAGTTACTCTTTCGAGTATTTTTCTATATTTGAATTCTTGGACTAGTTATTCTTTAATTATAAGTTCTGCCAATACTGAATTATAGGAAAACATGTTGTTTTAAGGAGTCAGGTAAAAGAATTATTTTATTAGGAAAAACTCCAGCATAAATTCAGGTCAAATTTGCTTCATACATAAAAAAAACAAAAGTTGTCTTTAATGTATGGTTCTATGTATAACTTTGTTACGAGGTGTCTCAGTTTTTACCTAGGGTGAGGTCACAACACATAAATTCAGATTTTGAGAGGAACTGTCTGATGAGTTTCTGCAAATTTGTATTTATTGGTCATATAAATTATAATATAAACAGTCATTCAAATTAAATGGCAAAAGAGGGTTTTAAAAATTTCAAAGGATATTTTATAAATCTATCATATATCTGCATTTGATTTTATTATCTAATAGCACTTGTTTCACTGAGCTCTACTTGAGATGATGTGTTCACAGAAGATATGGCTAACCCATGGTAAAATCTCATATACCTCATGGGCTTGCAAAAAAATTTCATAAAATAGTCCATGAGATCAAATATTTCTTCCAAGTTATAATTTGTTCTTCCATTATAAAATGTAGAAATGTAATGAAATTAAAGCTTTCTGAAAAATGAATTTCCCAAATATTTTTTCAAACATCTTACCAATAATAGCCACAATATCAGCCAACATATGTCTTTTTGATATATGGTCTAGACCAGCCTGAAATAAGAAAAAATAAATGTGGATAGTGTCCACATGTGGACACAGATGATGCCCCTGCTTGCATATAATATAGTGTAAAGGGACATAACTGACGAACGGTAAAAGTGACGCTTCCCAAATTTGAACTTGTTCTGAGTTTTGTGGTAATAAGCATTGTGTGTAAGTCTCATAACATTTGGTTGAGGTTAACTTAAGTAGAGACGAAACTAAAAATTCAGCAATTTTTCTATTTGTAAACACTCATAACTCTAGAACGGTTGTGTATAAGTTTTATAACATTTGGTTGAGACAAACTAAAGTTAGAGAACAAAATTCAGCAATTTTTATGTTTTTAAAGGGACATAACTCAAGAATGGTAAAAGTGTCGCCACCAAATTTCGTACTTAATCTGTATTATGTAGTAATAAGCATTGTGTATAAGTTTCATAACATTTGGTTGAGGCAAACTAAAGTTAGAAAACGGAAACAAAATATTTGTACTTGATCTTAGTTTTGTGGTAATGAATATTGTGTATAGGTTTCATAATGTTTGGTTGGGGCAAACTTAAGTTACAGAATGGAAACTAAAAAATTTGCAATCTTTCGATTTATAAAAGGGCAAAACTAAATAATGGTTAGAGTGACACTACCTAAATTCAACTTGATCTGTGTTTTATCAGTGGAAGTCAAAATTAAACATTCCATTGTATAAAGCATTGATTGTAGTTGATTCAACTATAATCATGGACAAAGGAAGATAACTTCAATTTAAAAAATTACTTGATATTTAGAAGAAAATAAGAAATTTTGCAATTTTTCCATTTATAAAGGGGCATAACTCTAGAACGGTTTAAGTGAGGCCACCAAAATTCATACTTGATCTGTGTTTTGTGGTAATAAGCATTGTGTATAAGTTTCATAACATTTGGTTGAGGCAAACTTAAGTTAGAGAACGGAAGCTTAAAATTTTGCAATTTTTCAGTTTAAAAGGGGCATAACTCTAGAACAGTTAAAGTGACTCCACCAAAATTCAAACTGGATCTGTGTTTTGTGGTAATAAGCATTGTGTATAAGTTTCATAACATTTGGTTGAGGCAAAGTTAAGTTAGAGAACTGAAACTAAAATTTTGCAATTTTTTCATTTATAAAGGGGCATAACTCTAGAATGGTTAAAGTGACGCCACCAAAATTCAAACTTGATCTGTGTTTTGTGGTAATAAGCATTGTGTATTAGTTTCATATTATCTGGTTGAGGCAAACTCAAGTAAGAGAATGCTCCCACCGCTACCGGTGGGGGGGGGGGGGGCATAAAAACTACGTACAGATGAACAAGGGTAAAACTTAATGCTCCCACCGCTACAGGGGGGGGGGGGGGGGGGGGGGGGCATAAAAAAAACATGTTATACTGGATCTTGAATGATAAAGTTTTCTGAATTTTTCCAGTTTTGTGAGAGTTTTCAAGGAGGAAAATATATACTATCTTCTCAGAGAAGTGAAATATAATAAAGATATTGGTAATAAGAACAAACTAATTTTAATGTCAGATCACAAATGCCCCCCCCCCCCCCCCCTCAAGCGATGCAATTTTCCAAGTAAAATAGGGGCATAACTCTAGAACGGTAAATGACTTGCTTCCCAAAATCTTACGCTGTCTGCAAGTTTTGGTTCTTAGCATTGTGTAAGAGTTTCATAAAATTTGGATGAGGAAATCTTAAGTTAGAGTGCGAAAACGAAAATGGACAGAAAGACGGACGATCAAGGGTAACCCCTAATGCCCCCATTGTCTACGGCAGGGGCATAAATATAGCTGGTATGCACTAAGACATTGAAAATATTGGTAAGGTGCCAAAATTGTAATTCAGATCATAAATTCTGACCTGCTAGTAGATATAAGTATGTCAAATATGAAACAGACATCAGCAACACTTTTGTTATTTTTCATACTGACTGTCACGGCTTATACAAAAGTATGTCAAATATTAAACACACAACGGCAACACTTTTGTTATTTTTCATACTGAATGTCACGGCTTATACAAATGTATGTCAAATATTAAACACACAACGGCAACACTTTTGTTATTTTTCATACTGAATGTCACGGCTTATACAAATGTATGTCAAATATTAAACACACAACGGCAACACTTTTGTTATTTTTCATACTGAATTTCACAGCTTATACAAAAGTATGTCAAATATTAAACAGAATCCATCAAAAACATATGGTGAACATTTTCTAAACACATAAAAACCTTATATTTTAACTTTTTATCAGTCCATAACTTTATAAGATAATCTTGTTATATCACAGTGACATGATATTCTAAAAAAATATTTATCATTTATTATTTACTCTCTCATTTACCAACCAAAGGTCTTTTGTGGAGTTTTGCTTTTTGTCCTTACTTACCTGTATGACAATCTTGAAATAGTTCTATTTTTTTGGCTTCCACTTCAATTAAATACTTGTGTGACAGCTTGATTTTTTTTAACAAGAAAGTGTCTGCTATATACAGGTTTCGATATGATGTTATTTCCCTTGGTGGCCATTTTGAAGGGGTAAACGGTTGATTTTCCTATTTGACTAACCAATTTGAAACATATTGTACAACCAAGTCTGATTTATAGAAATCCTTACCAAATTGTTGTGATAAAACAAGCAAGGCTAATAGAAATTAAAACTGTTCAGAAAATAAGTTTTTCTAATGTCTAGTGGGCAGTATAACAAGTTGAATTTCACTAATTTTTGAAGAAATTTGTGGGTTTAGACCTCCAACATGGTGATAAAAGGGAAGTAACTCTTGCTCAAATTGTGTCAATAGAAACATATTTTTAACCATAATTTTGAAAGGAATAAAGAGAAATTAGTTATTCAGCAATGACCGGCTATAATGAAATAGTAGACACAAGATACCTTTCATTTAAGTTTGCCTAATAAATTGTGGTCTGTTGAAATATCAAATGGATTCATCAAAGAAACCCACAGAAAATTGGAGGAAAAATGAACCAAAAATCAGAAATAAACTCTACCAATGTAACATAAAAAACCTAGCTGTGATGATATAAACTAAATACTCTTGTCAGGACTTACAGTAAAGAACCTTTCAATCACATATTAATTCTTTTAATTACTTACCAAATGAGCAAAGCCTGGAGCTTTAATTTTACATCTGTAAGGTTTGTTTGTTCCATCTGATACCAGATATACACCAAATTCCCCCTAGAAATAGCAAATACAACAAAATATATATCACCTTCTTCGAACACAATATGCCATGAGAAACTGCATACCTAAGTCTCCTTGTAACCCTGTCAAGGCGTGACAATAAAATTGGTCAAATATCCTAATTCAAGGGCAATCACTCCTATAAGGAGTTATCAGATAATTTAGGTGGATATCAAAGTAGGTAGATCTTGACATTCTATGCATTCAAAAAAAAAAAATTCAAGATTTTTCATATCATGGATTTCAAGACAATAACTTGCATTTTACCCTTATTTTTTATTTTCAGCCATGGTAACCAAATTGGAACAGGAACAAAAAACATCATACTACATACCCTAAGAATCATTCAATTCAAGTTTGGATGGAAATTTGTCAAGTGGTTTCAAAGGATTATATTTTTTCAAAGTTTACGATGGTAAATGATGGCCAAAGCTGAAATGGCCCCTCTGTCAGGTTTACTAAATTAATTACTTTTTAAAGGGTTTAATGTTAAATTCTTACAACTGCACTCGAAAAATTAAGAAATATATTTTTCAAACTTATGTTTTCATAGCTGTTCTTTACCTTTGGAGCCTCTATAGCTGTATATGTTGAACCTGGTGGGACATTATAACCTTCTGTAAACAGTTTAAAGTGGTGAATCAAAGCTTCCATAGAATTCTGAAAAGAAAGAATGATGTAAAATGTATAATTTAAAGAAAACAAGAGGTAAAAATTAAATAAAAACAGATTGTGTCTATGGAACAAAAATACCCCCACTTATAAAGATGAAGAGAAATCAGTCAACACAGATCTGTGTTATATGGTGCCCCAAAACATTTCCAAATTTCAATTGATTGGTGGAGGCCTACTCAAGTTCATGCCAGGAAACCAAAAATTGTCTATGTTCAGCTTAAAAAGGGGCATAATTCTTGAAAGACAAAGTGAAATGTGTCAAATTTGACACATATCAGTGTTTTATTCACATTTCAGACTTGTAGTTGTCTTACTCGTTTCATCCTCCTGAAACCAAAATAGAAAGCTAAAGGACATAGGTACAAGAGAAACACTATATCCTTGTTTTGTCACTTGGCCGGAGCATAAAAAGAATTATCTTGCCGGTAGCCTACTTATTTATCCTAAAACTGCAGGACATAACAGATGAATAAAAAGATGTGGATACAAGATTTAAGTGAAAAACTGTTTATCGAATTATCTTTGTAAAGAAACCATGTAAAATGTTTTTTTCTTCCCATAGGTATACGAAAACTAACAAAAAATCGTGAAAATCTGCTGAAAACATACTGTACAGTAACTCTTTCACCGATAGCCGCCCTGACAGAAGCTACTCTGAGACAATGGCTTCCATTACTATTGTGACACAAGTGAGAGATCTTCATATTAAATATCAATAAAAACTTGTCTGTCTGTATTTATGTCTTTATTTTTTTCACTTACACCATAGACACAGCTTGTTCATGTTTTGATAAATTTTTTGTCAGAAAAAATCAAAATTTGCAAATTTTCGGCTTTAAAACGTAAGAAATTCACGAAAATCGACTTTATGACCCAAAATCATAATTTTCTAACCCAATACGGCAATAGTTTGAAAATTTTAACGAGGTTGTACAAATTCCTTACACTGAACGATGTCCATTCCAAGTTTTTTGTAAATAAAACAGCATTTTATGTCAAAAAAGTATACTAGTCTGGCTTCAATTCTTCCAAATTCTTTAAGAAAATTTTTTCCTTCGTTTCAAATTCAAGTAAAATCCGTAAATTTCATCTGATTTTGACACGGTTTTCAACAAACGGAAGCACCATGTTTACACTTTCATCCGGGTATTAAACAAAGAAAGATAACTTGTGTTTGCAATATTTTTCAGCTGGAAATATAAAAGAGGTATTCCGATCCCTGTAAACCAGGACTCATTGTCAGCTGTCTGAAGCGTGAATCCCGGTAAACCGGGATTCGTCGGCGAAAGGGTTAAATCTAGTGAAACAATTTTTTAAAAATTTTCTTCAGTTATAAATATGGATAAAATCTTCCAAGTGAACAACAGACTGAGAAATTGCTTTTGGATTTGTCAAATAGAACAGAAAAATATTTGTCTATTAATTTTAATATAGATAATGACACTGATGAAAACCAAAATATCACAACATTATACCAGCACAAAAATATGCAGTCTTACAATAATTAATTTGACCTAATTACCTTCATTTCAGCTCTGTTTGGAGGACAAACTTTGTTATCATCTACTTTTATTTCTCCACTTGGCATTTTATTTAAACACTGGAGTATAATTCTCAAACTCTGCCTCATCTCTTCCATACGAATCAAATACCTAGTAAAGTGATATAATCATTGTGCAAATCATAGTTCATTCTTTATCAATTATAACATTATATCATTTATTTAAGATATATAGATCTATTAATTATGCTTTCTACGAATGACAGTCCATTACAACAAATATGTTACCATTTATTCTGTAAACCAACTTTATTTTCTTGGATACTACTTTAATGCCTTGACATGTCCAGCCATCTTTGCATATATTTATTTTCTGGTTTTCCTCACTATCTTATTTCAAAACAATAAAATGTTAACATTTTTCTTCTTTTTTCTAGTAAATAGTTAAGAACAGTAATATAATAGTGGTTTTTTTTCTCTCACAAAACAGTGATTTCCCAGCATTCCAATTTCTTTTCTACAGATTATTTTCTAAACAAATACCTGTCCCAGCAATCTCCTTTCCTTCCAATAGGTACATCAAATTCTACTTTATCATAAGCATCATAAGGTTGTACCTTTCTCAAATCCCATTCTATACCTGATCCTCTTAACATGACACCGCTGAAAAAACAAGACACAAATGTTAAACATTATTTTACATTATTTCATACTTTCTTTAAGCAATCCAAACAAGACTGTGTCCATAGTACATGGATGCCTCACTCGCACTATCATTTTCTATGTTCAGTGGACCCTGAAATTGGGGTCAAAACTCTAATTTGGCATTAAAATTAGAAAGTTTATATCATAGGGAACATGTGTACTAAGTTTGAAGTTGATTGCACTTCAACTTCATCAAAAACTACCTTGACCAAAAACTTTAACCTGAAGTGGGACAGACAGACAGACGAACAGAAGAACGGAGGCACAGACCGAAAAAGATAATGCCCCTAGGTGGGACATAAAAACAAATTTTCAACAGTAAGTTTCAAATCACAATCATGCCAGATTAGCATTCCTGCGTGTTGCATTCTTTGACAATAGTTAAAACAAATACTATCCATCAGTCCAACAGCTGGACATTTCATAAAAATCTTTTTTTTTATCTTTTATTTGTTTTCAATAGTCAGGATTTTACAATACTCCTACAATCACCACCTGACTATGGTTTTTGGGGCAAACATTGAAAGTTATATACAAGACTATACATTTTTTTTAAAATTTATATTCATTATCATAATTCAAGAATATAGTTATTAAAGGAAAAAAAAAATAAAAAAAAAAAAAAAAAAATATAGCTGCTCACACTCACACTTTCTCTCACTACTTACACACAGTCACTGCAATCTTACCATTAGTATGCATGTATGTCTATATATAAAGTAATAAAATGCTCCGCAGGGCGCAGCTTGATACGACCGCAGAGGTCGAACCCTGAACAGTTGGGGCAAGTATGGACACAACATTCAAGCTTGATACAGCTCTGAATTTGGATTGTGATTAAATATTTGACACAAAATAGCTTTCTGACACAGAATGAATGTGGTCTAAGAACTTAAAAATTTTAAATTGGACATTCACCTATTATGGTCCAATATCCAAAATCTAAATACATGGTTAGATTCAGTATATCAAAGAACCCCAAGAATTCAATTTTTGATGAAATCAAACAAAGTTTAATTTTGGACCCTTTTGACCTCAATGTGGACAAAGTTGATAACGGGGCCCAAAAATCAAAAATCTAAAAACATGGTTAAATTCAGCATATCAAAGAACCCCATATATTCAATTTTTGTTGAAATCAAACAAAGTTTAATTTTGGACCCTGATTTGGACCAACTTGAAAACTGGGCCCATAATCAAAAATCTAAATACATGTTTAGATTCAGCATATCAAAGAACCCTAAAAATTCAATTTTTGTTAAAATCAAACTAAGTTTTATTTTGGACCCTTTGGACCTTAATGTAGACCAATTTGAAAACGGAACCAAAAATTAAGAATCTAAATACACTGTTAGATTGGGCATATCAAACAACCCCAATAATTCAATTTTTGATGAAATCAAACAAAGTTAAATTTTGGACCCTTTGGACCTCAATGTGGACCAATTAAAAAACGGGTCCCAAAATCCAAAAACTTAATACACAGTTAGATTCAGCATATTAAAGAACCCCAAGAATTCAAGAATAAAACCCCATTGAAACTGATCAAGAAATAAGCAATTTATACGAAGTATCTTCTTTTGCACAATACTGTGCAATTGAATATTTCTTGCTATTGCGCAATACTGTACAATTGACAATTTCTTGCTATTGCGCAATATTGTGCTATTGGATATTTCTTGCTATTGCGCAATACTGTGCAATTGAAGATTTCTTGCTATTGCGCAATACTGTGCAATTGAAGATTTCTTGCTATTGTGCAATACTGTGCTATTGAAAAATACTTATTATATAATAATTTACACATCCTGTTTGGTGTGTATCTCCTACCATATCATTATTATTTGTTTTTAAATATAAATCAGAAATAACCAACTTAAAATGGAAAATTTTAAAAGAAAAAAAAAGGAAAAAAAGAAAAGAAAAAAAATGCCCCCCCCCCCAAATTTTTTGAACCCCCTTATGATTCATCGTCCCCAAACTCAATCCCAGCCTTCCCTTTGTGGTATGGTACCTTTCAGTACAATTTCAGAGAGATCCATACACTTGAACACAAGTTATTGTCTGGAAACTAGAAAAATGCTTATTTTTGGCCCCTTTTTGTCCCCCAATTCCTAAACGTTTCGGGCAATTACCCCCAAACTCAATTCCAGCTTTCCCTTTGTGATATGGAACCTTGTAGTACAATTTCAGAAATATCCAAACACTTACACACAAGTTATTGTCATGAAACTAGAAAAATGCTTGTTTTTTGCCCCTTTTTTGGCCCCTTATTCCTAAAATTTTGAAACAATTACCCCCAAAATCAATTACAGCCTTCCCTTTGTGTTATGGAACCTTGTGGTACAATGTCAGAGAGATCCATACACTTACACACAAGTTATTGTCTGGAAGTTACAAAAATGCTTATTTTTGGCCCCTTTTTGGCCCCTAATTCCTTAACTGTTGGTACCATAACCCCCAAAATCAATCCCAACCTTCCTTTTGTGGTATTGAACCTTATGATAAAATTTCATGGAGATCCATTTACTTAAACTAAAGTTAGAGTGCGAAAACCAATGTGTCTTCGGACGACGCCGGACGACGCCAGACGACGACGACGACGACGACGACGCCAACGTCATACCAATATACGACCAAAAAATTTTTAATTTTTGCGGTCGTATAAAAACCAAATATCAACTGCTCACTATAGTATAACTTAAAGTATAAACGATAATAAATCATGAAAAAATTGTATGTAGTGGGGACCAGAATCTTTCATAAGATGCTGCTCTATTACTTTTGTTTGCAATATAAAATTCATTTGATTGGTATTATTTTATTCTGGATTTAAGTCCTACAAAACTAGGAGCTATATTTAACAGGCTATTATTTAAACTTGGAATTATTTTTAATTATGGAATTTGCATAATTTCTTGTGTTTGAAATTTTTAATAAATTCCATGTTTATTTGGACTTTAATGTTCTGTGCTGCGCACAACACTTTCTATTACAAAGAAGATAGTACATTTTCAATAGAATGTACTGTGCCGCGCACAACACTATCTATACAAAATACATTGTATGAGAAGTGTTATGAACCGCTCAAAACATTATAATACCAAATAAACATGGAATTTATCAAAAATTTCAAGCACAAGAAATTATAATAATTGAAAATAATTCCAAGTTCAAATAATAGCCTGTTATTTCTTAACTTACATCTAAAGATGTAGTTTTTAGCTTAATAATTAACAAATTTATAAACAAAGTTTTAGTAATAAATCCCAGTAAAATTTCCATCTTACTGATGCTGAATTGCTCATCAAATAATTTGATTTTCTGTAAAAATGACAACCAAAAATTGTATGTAACATTAAAATCATAAAATAAATGTTCTATTGTTTCCTCTTCCTCATTACAGAAGGTACATAGACTTGTTTCCTTTTGCTTAATTTTATATAAAAATGTATTAGTAGGTATAATTCTATGTTATATTTTATATTGAAAATCCTTTAAATATGTATTACTACAACATCTTTTCAAAAGGGAAAAATACTTCGACCATTCTGAGATTTCCGAATTTGTTACATCCTCCCATTTCAAAAATTTCTCATATGGGAGTATGCATATTTTATCTACAAGATCTCTGTATACAAATTTTAACTTCTTATTTTCCAAGATCCTTTTAGAAAATGCATCAAAAGGAACAAAATTTTCTAAGTTCAAATCACAATAATCTTTGATGTATTTTTTTATATATTTTGGAATGTTAGATAATAAACTATAGTATTTCAAAAAATTTTCCAAATTAAGTTTTTGTCTTACTTGTTGAAATGTTAATAGTGATTTACTTTGACTATCTACAATGTCCCTTATAAACTGTATACCATATAACTTCCATTTCATATATACAGGATATTCAGATATTGGTATAAAGTTTAGAATATCCAATGACAAAATTTCTGGAACACATAACCTTGTATAAGGATTTGCCATGTGTAGACAATCAAATATGTCTTTCCAAAATGGATTTTTTAAGCAATTAGAAATATCTTTAATCTTATCCTTTTGTAATGTAAAGACTCTGTCACCACCTAACTGTTTTAGTTCTGCTTGTAATAAATTCTGCCAAGTACCATCTGGATTTGATAAAAATCTCTTTACCCAAGATAATTTAAGATATGTACAGAAAGACTGCAAATGCACCATATTTAATCCTCCCTGTGAAAAATCTGCAATAAGAGTACTACGCTTGACTCTATCAGTCTTACCATTCCAAATGAAATTAAAAAACATAGCACTCAGCTCATTTAATTGTGAGTGAGGTAAATTCGGCAGGGCAGTCAACAAATGAATCAGCCTCGGTAATGCCAGAGTCTTAATTACAGTAAAAATAAAAAATCTAACCATTGACAATTCATATGCAAACTATTTACGTTAAAAAATTTCATTCACTTTTTATCCATTCAAATTTTTCGTCTTAGGTCTAAACCTTGCTTTTGCTCTCATGAGATTTATCTGTCTTACTTCTTCGCGAATCCTTATCAAAGGGTTTACTTTTTGAGGAAGTCATCCAGGTAGTCTCAATTGTCTCACTTTATAGTGATTTTATGAAATATACATGATTTCTCTGTATCTTTTTAAGATGATTGTCATCTGTCATGTGACAACACATTAAATGAGGTCAAGAACTTTAGGTTACTAAAATAATTTTCCTTTCATCAAATTATAAATCTCATAAATATTTTGACACAAAAAAAGTTGATTTGATACAAACTTGAAGAAATATTTTTAACATGCAAAAAGCAAAACTCAGTTCAATAAACATGTTGACTTGTAAAGCTAATTACTGGTTGGAAAGAACCAAACTAAAAATGACCTTGCTGTACTGAATCCTCCTCCCCCTGCAATAAACCATATATTGGGTCTATGCAAATAGTATCCTAAAGCTGGGAAACCTGATCTTAAGTATATGTTGCTATCAAAATTATATGGCAACTAACAACTTTTCAGCGATAAGATTTAAAGGTTGTGAGAAACCCTTTCTTTTGATGTATTGTAAAAGTCACCTGAAGCCATAATTGAGGGCATCCTCAGATGAGACAATACCAACATCTATAGTTCTAGTTTTCCAGATCTGATTGTTTGTTAACAGCTGGTCTGTTTCATCAATACGCTGACCAAACTGTTGACACCACTGGTATATATCGTCCATCAGACCTAAAGGAAGATCCTGAAAGATAAATGTTAGGTTGTTTAAAAAAATGCTCTGTGTTTTAATTGTTGATCACTGGAATTGAACTGCTTTTTTTCTTACGTTTGCATTTTAAACATCACTCTTTATTAATACCATATCGCATATCGACTTATGTGAAGCCTGCCAATTAACCGTAGGATATATATTGTGTTCTAATGTATAGGCATTCACAGTACTGTTAATGTAGATTTAGAAATTATTGTGAGGTTTTTATCAATGTGAAAGGGTTAGGATCACAATAATAAGAGTGCACATGCTGAAATGTCTCGCCTGCTTTACTACTATTGATTTTATGTTGCATTGATAGCACTAAATATAAAGTTTTACTACAAGTATCACATTAACTTAAAATGATCTAAGAAAAAAAGTCAAGGTCAGATAAACCAAACCAGAAATACATCTGCACCTTACAATCATTCCATACATTGAATATAGTTGACCTATTGCTTATAGTATACAAAAAATTCTGCAATTTTTCATTTGTAAAGGGGCACAACTCTAGAACAGTAAAAGTGAGGCCACCAAAATTCAAACTTGATCTGTGTTTTGTAGTGATCAGCATTGCATATAAGTTTCATAACATTTGTTTGAGGCAAACAAAAGTTAGAGAACAGAAACGAAAGATTCAGCAATTTTTCCATTTGTAAAGGGGCATAACTGTAGAACGGCAAAAGTGACGCCACCAAAATTCAAACTTGATCTGTGTTTTGTGGTAATCAGCATTGTGTATTAGTTTCATAACATTTGGTTGAGGCAAACTAAAGTGAGAGAACAGAAACCAATTTTGGGATGTACGTACTGATGGACGGACAAGGGTAAAACTTAATGCCCCCTCCGCTACAGCATGGGCATAAAAACAGACCAAACCATGAAAACTTTATATTGACCAATGAACCATGAATATGAGGTCAAGGTCAAAGGAACCCTGCCAGACAGACATCTACACTTTACAATCATTCCATGGATCAAATATAGTTGACATATCAAATATAGTATTTAAGAAACAAACTTTATTAACCAGGAAAAACATAACATTGACCAAGGAACCATGAAAATGAGGTCAACGTCTGATGATACCTGCCAGACTGACATGTACAGGATTTCTGCTGGCGGTCGCCATTTTCGCTTTTTGCGATGATTAAAATTCATTATTGGCGAAAGAATTTGGCCAAAGAAATATAACGATTCGATTTCATCCATCTTGTTTACTTTTTTTCGGGTTTCTCTGACTTTACCTGATGAGACAATATTCATAATTCACCTTGAACTTGTTACGATTTTGACAGAAAATCAACAATCAGCTGATTGCATTTTATAGCTGTAGGCAACAATGGACTAATTAATAAAGGTGTTGATTGTATTCCTTGATGAAATGATGTGGTTAAATGGCGTCAGTTGTCACCTAAAGGATTTATTTACAACTTTGCAATGCACATGTTTGAAGCATAGTTTTACGTCTTCTCGTTTTCTCTTTAACGATGGTCTGGAAAAGAAAACTGTTGTTATGACCAAAACTAGTACTGTTCAAAAGCAAGAAAAATATCCGACTTTAAACTTTATCCTTTAACTTTGATAAAAATAATTGATTTGAAGTGGGTCCAGTACTTTTCAATCGTTTTGGCGTCGCACATGTTTCAAGCCTAGTTTTAAGATGGTCCGGAAAAGAAAACTGTTGCTACGAAGAAATATATTCATAAGTAAGAAAAATCCCTGACGTAAGCCTTTATTCTTCAACTAGACAGGACAATATACATCCGATAAACTTATGGAAGATGCATCTCGTGTTCCCAGAAGTCAAAAATTATGATTTAATGATCTATATTGCAATTTTACAGTATCTTTGGAAAAGTAAATGTTAATGTTTATTCATTACAATGTAGATTAAAATAAATGTGGATAGTGTCCACATGTGGACACAGATAGATGATGCCCCAGCTTGCATATCATATAGTTATAAAGGGACATAACTGAAGAACGGAAAAAGTGACATTACCCAAATTTGAACTTGATCTGAGTTTTATGGTAATAAGCATTGTGTGTAAGTCTCATAACATTTGGTTGAGGCTAACTTAAGTAGAGAACAGAAACTAAAAATTCAGCAATTTTTCTATTTGTAAATACGCATAACTCTAGAACGGTTGTGTATAAGTTTTATAACATTTGGTTGAGACAAACTAAAGTTAGAGAACGGAAACGAAAAATTCAGCAATTTTTATGTTTTTAAAAAGGAACATAACTCAAGAATGGTAAAAGTGTCGCCACCAAATTCTGTACTTAATCTGTATTATGTAGTAATAAGCATTGTGTATAAGTTTCATAACATTTGGTTGAGGCAAACTAAAGTTAGAAAACGGAAACAAAAAATTTGTACTTGATCTTAGTTTTGCGGTAATGAATATTGTGTATAGGTTTCATAATGTTTGGTTGGGGCAAACTTAAGTAACAGAATGGAAACTAAAAATTTTGCAATCTTTCGATTTAAAAAGGGGCATAACTCAATAAACGTTAAAGTGACACTACCAAAGTTCAACTTGATCTGTGTTTTATCAGTGGAAGTCAAAATTAAACATTGCATTGTATAAAGCATTGATGTAGTTGATTCAACTCTAATCATGGACAAAGGAAGATAACTCCAATTTTTAAAAAAATTACTTGATATTTAGAAGAAAATAAAAATTTTGCAATTTTTCCATTTATAAAGGGGCATACTTCTAGAACAGTTAAAGTGACGCCACCAAAATTCAAACTTGATCTGTGCTTTGTGGTAATAAGCATTGTGTATAAGTTTTATAACATTTGGATGAGGCAAACTCAAGTTAGAGAACGGAAACCAATTTTAGAACGTACGGACCGACTTACATACGTACGTACAGACGGACAAGGGTAAAACTTAATGCCCACTCTGCTAAGGCAGGGGCATTAAAAAAAATTGAAGAATTATCATAGACAAAAATGGGGCAAACAAAATTTTTTTGTTAGAAAGAAGGAAAATTTTAAAGAAAAATATGTTTATGTTAGTTGTTAGTTGGCGAAAAAGAATTGAAAGTGGCAAAAATAATATTGTTTTGGCTAAAGAGGTGGCGAAAATGAAAATTGACCCAGGGGAAACCCTGGACATGTAAATTGTAAAATATTTCCATACACCAAATATATCTGACCTATTGCATATAGTATTAGAAAAACAAACCAAAACACAAAAACTTCGCTTACACCACTGAACCATGAAAATGAGGTCAAGGTGAGATGACACCTGCCAGTTGGACATGTACACCTTACAATCATTCCATACACCAAATATAGTAGACTATTGCTTATGGTATCTGAGATATGGACTTGACCACGAAAACTTAACCTTCTCACTGATCCATGAAATGAGGTTGAGGTCAAGTGAAAACTATCTGACAGGCATGAGGACAGTACAAGATATGACCATACCAAATATAGTTATCCTATTACTCATAATAAGAGAGAAATTAACATTACAATAAAATCATTACTCTTTTTTTCAAGTAGTCACTGAACCATGAAAATGAGGTCAAGGACAATGGACAGATGGAAACTTCATAACATAAGTCTTTTATATACAAAGTATGAAGCATCCAGGTCATCTATATTCTGAAATATTAAGCTTTTAAGACGTTTGTTAATGTCCCTGCTGCCAGATCACTATCCCTATGTCGTGCTGTCGCAGGCTTGACAAAAATCAGAATTTGATTAGTGCTTTATATCAGATGTTCTGATTTTGACCACATGATGTGCAATTCAAAAATTGACATGACACCTGCTCACCTTGAGCTGAAATACATTTTAACCTCTTTCAACCTAGTCTTTTTTACTATATGAACAAGAAGTTTCAATTCTTTTCAATGTCAAATAATCCTCAAACAATAAGCTCAGCAGAAAATATCAAAATATTAATGTATCAATAACCTTGACTTTTAATTCATGAGTAAATAAATAACAATTATATGTATTAACAAGTCATTTCTTCTATCATGTCAATATTGATTTCTTATAGATGTTGAAAAAGAAGTTAGCACAAAATATGCTTTTATACATGGAGGTCAATTTTATGGTTTGTTGAAAATTCACTGGTTAATGAATTTGTTTCATTCTTGGTTTGAAAATAAAATTTACCTATAACACACCTCCAGATAAAAATAAACCATGTGATTCAAACTTGAGACACATCTCTTTGGACACGAATAAGTCACATGATACTAACCTGTGCTACACCCGCGGTCTGATGTAAGCTGCATGTAATCTAGCTCCTGACACTTGGATACGAATAAGTCACATGATACTTACCTGTGCTACACCCCCAGGTCTGACGTAAGCTGCATGTAATCTAGCTCCTGACACTCGTTCATAAAACTCCATTAATTTTTCTCTCTCTTCGAATAACCAGAAGAAGGGTGTCATGGCTCCAACATCCAATGCATGTGTACCAATACCCATAATGTGATTTAATATTCTTGTTATTTCACCAAACATGGCTGAAAGTAGAACAATATATACTTTATGATTAGAAACGTGTGCCTTTGGCTAGGGGCAAAAGTCTAGTCAAAACAATCGCCTAAATCTCAATTTTTTTCTTAATTATATTAATGTTCAGTCACCTATCAGCCATGCTAGAATGAAAGTCCAGAAAATATGTTTTTGAACCATTGGATTCAGTGAAAAATCCTGTTTGACTGTGATTTTTCACAGTAACTGTTGATAAGGGTGTTTTACTTTGACTGTATATAACAGGAATATATAGATATAAGAAGATGTGGTATGAGTGCCAATGAGACAACACTCCATCCATACCATTATATACAAAGGGATTGGTAATCCGACTGCAATCATTGCAACATCAGCAATCACCCTGTTTCACTGTGAATCAATCATCATTACCAATATTGATTTCTTACTGTATGCCTTACATGTAATGTATATGTTGTGTACAAGTTGTAATTTCATACAAATTATAATTTGTACAGGGTTTTTGTACAAGTTATCAGTATTTTGACACACACCTTCTATCACCAGGTGATACAAGTTAATCTTCAATAATTATCCAGTTCGATGTTTTACTCACACATTTATATACTTCAACCTAACATTAAGCACTGTCCTCTATGTCATAAAACTACAAAGAAGGACACCTGATTGGTTTAAATTATATTTTTATTTTTTGACTAATACCATATTCTATGTCCACAAAATATATTTTAGTGTTATTATATAAACTTTGTGTCAGTACTATGTGCAAGACTTTTCAACAATTAGGCCCCAAAGAGAACCTTCTCCTTATATAATTATGGTTCGGTCATTTATTAGATTTAGTTTAAAATTGAACATAAATAAAACTGATATTTATACAAATAATGTGTAACAAAAAATTTCATAGTTCTTACTTCTAATCCATTTGGCTCTCTCTGGTACCTCTATATTAAGAAGTTTCTCTACCGCCATTGAATAACATTGTTCACTACACATCATAGACACATAGTCTAACCTGTCAAAGTAGGGTAAGGCCTGAAAAAAATAACATTGCTCACTACACATCATAGACACATAATCTAACCTGTCAAAGTAGGGCAAGGCCTGAAAAATAACATTGCTCACTACACATCATAGACACATAATCTAACCTGTCAAAGTAGGGCAAGGCCTGAAAAATAACATTGCTCACTACACATCATAGACACATAGTCTAACCTGTCAAAGTAGGGTAAGGCCTGAAAAAAAAACATTACTCACTACACATCATAGACACATAGTCTAACCTGTCAAAGTATGGTAAGGCCTGAAAAAAATAACATTGCTCACTACACATCATAGACACATAGTCTAACCTGTCAAAGTAGGGCAAGGCCTAAAAAAAATAACATTGTTCACTACATATCATAGACACATAGTCTAACCTGTCAAAGTAGGGTAAGACCTGAAAAAAAAACATTACTCACTACACATCATAGACACATAGTCTAACCTGTCAAAGTATGGTAAGGCCTGAAAAAAATAACATTGCTCACTACACATCATAGACACATAGTCTAACCTGTCAAAGTAGGGCAAGGCCTAAAAAAAATAACATTGTTCACTACACATCATAGACACATAGTCTAACCTGTCAAAGTAGGGTAAAGCCTGAAAAAAATAACATTGTTCACTACACATCATAGACACATAGTCTAACCTGTCAAAGTATGGTAAGGCCTGAAAAAAATAACATTGCTCACTACACATCATAGACACATAGTCTAAACCTGTCAAAGCAGGGTAAAGCCTACAAAAAATAACATTGCTCACTACACATCATAGACACATAGTCTACCACCTGTCAAAGTAGGGTAAGGCCTGAAAAAAATAACATTAAATACTGTAAATCCATGTCCTTAAAAAATTCAAGAAGAGTGCTTATTAAAAAGTAAAATCACAAAAATACTGAACTCCGAGGAAAATTCAATAAAATGCTTCGCTGGGGCGCAGCTTGATACGACCGCAGAGGTCGAACCCTGAACAGTTGGGGCAAGTATGGACACAACATTCAAGCTTGATACAGCTCTGAATTTGGATTGTTATTAAATATTTGACACAGCATAGGTTTCTGACACAGAAAGAATGTGGTCTAAGAACTTGAATTTTTTTAATTTACCTATTATGGTCCAATGTCCAAAATCAAAATACATGGTTAGATTCAGCATATCAAAGAACCCCATATATTCAATTTTTGTTAAAATCAAACAAAGTTTAATTTTGGACCCCAACTTGGACAAACTTGAAAACTGGGCCCATAATCAAAAATCTAAACACATGTTTAGATTCAGCATATCAAAGAACCCCAAGATTTCAATTTTTGCTAAAATCAAACTAAGTTTAATTTTGGACCCTTTGGACCTTAATGTAGACCAATTTAAAAAACGGGACTTAAAATTAAAAATCTAAATACAAGGTCAGATTTGGAATATCAAAGAACCCCAATAATTCAATTTTTGATGAAATCAAACAAAGTTTAATTTTGGACCCTTTTGACCTCAATATGAACCAATTTGATAGCGGGGCCCACAAATAAAAATTCTAAATTCATGGTTAGATTCAGCATATCAAAGAACCCCATATATTCAATTTTTGTTGAAATCAAACAAAGTTTAATTTTGGACCCCAATTTGGACCAACTTGAAAACTGGGCCCATAATCAAAAATCTAAACACATGTTTAGATTCAGCATATTAAAGAACCCCAAGAATTCAATTTTTGTTAAAATCAAACTAAGTTTAATTTTGGACCCTTTGGACCTCAATGAAGACCAATTTAAAAAACGGGACCCAAATTAAAAATCTAAAAACACGGTTAGATTTGGCATATCAAAGAACCCCAATAATTCAATTTTCGATGAAATCAAACAAAGTTTAATTTTGGACCCTTTTGACCTCAATATGAACCAATTTGATAGCGGGGCCTACAAATAAAAAATCTAAATACATGGTTAGATTCAGCATATCAAAGAACCTCATATATTCAATTTTTGTTGAAATCAAACAAAGTTTAATTTTGGAACCCAATTTGGACCAACTTGAAAACTGGGCCCATAATCAAAAATCTAAATACATGTTTAGATTCAGCATATCAAAGAACCCCATATATTCAATTTTTGTTGAAATCAAACAAAGTTTAAATACTGGACCCTATCTTGGACCAACTTGAAAACTGGGCCCATAATCAAAAATCTAAACACATGTTTAGATTCAGCATATCAAAGAACCCCAATAATTCAATTTTTGTTAAAATCAAACTAAGTTTAATTTTGGACCCTTTGGACCTCAATGTAGACCAATTTAAAAAACAGGACCCAAAATTAAAAACCTAAATACACGGTTAGATTTGGAATATCAAAGAACCCCAATAATTCAATTTTAGATGAAATCAAACAAAGTTTAATTTTGGACCCTTTTGACCTCAATATGAACCAATTAGATAACGGGGTCCACAAATAAAAAATCTAAATACATGGTTAGATTCAGCATATCAAAGAACCCCATATATTCAATTTTTGTTGAAATCAAACAAAGTTTAATTTTGGACCCCAATTTGGACCAACTTGAAAACTGGGCCAAAAATCAAAAATCTAATTACATGTTTAGATTCAGCATATCAAAGAACCTCATATATTCAATTTTTGCTAAAATCAAACAAAGTTTAATTTTGGACCCTTTGGACATTAATGTAGACCAATTTGAAAACTGGACCCAAAATTAAAAATCTAAATACACTGTTAGATTCGGCATAACAAATAAATAAATGTGATCAAAGATTTTACAAATCTAATGCGCCATGCTGTGCAATTAAAGATTACTTCTTGAAATTTTTCAATATTTGAAATTTGAAAAAAAAATAATATTTGAAGAATAATTCTTTTTAATTTCTGAAATCTGAAATGAGAAAAAATTGGCCCCCCCCCTTTTTCCCCCAAAAAAATTCTTTCCCTCAAGATATGGTCATAATCTCAATTCAAATTTCCAATGGAGTTGGCAACCATAATTACCCATTTAAATTTACCATAGTGCTAACTTAATCTATTTTATAATAGAATTAATAAAAATATAGTGTCAAATCTTTCATATGGATTTTTTTGTAAAAAAAAAAGATGAAAACATTTGCAGATATTTTTACTGGTCTTCCTTTATAAATATGCATTTCTTTAAACATAATTTAAAAGCAGTGTAAGGGAAGTAACCAAAACGTTGTATTTGGATTACCTCCCTTACACTGTTTTAGATTATCTTTATTGTTCATTAACCATTACTTTATACATAATTTAAAAGCAGTGTAAGGGAGATAATTTCAATGATGTATTTGATTTATCTCCCTTACACTGCTTTAAATTATGTTTTGTACTAAAGTATTTGTCCATTAACCAGGACAACCTTGTTTTTCCCCCTTTTTTGCCCCTAATTCCTAAACGGTTTGAGCCATAACCCCCCAAAGCAAATCCTAACCATCCCTTTGTGGTATGGAAACTTGTAGTATAATATCTGAGAGATCCATACACCATTCCACAGTTATTGTCTGGAAACTAGAAAATGCTCATTTTTGGCCCCTTTTTGGCCCCTAATTCCTTAACTGTTGGTACCATAACCCCCAAAATCAATCCCAACCTTCCTTTTGTGGTATTTAACCTTATGGTCAAATTTCAAAAAGATCCATTCACTTAAACTAAAGTTAGAGTGCGAAAACCAATATGTATTCGGACGACGACGCTGGACGACGACGACGACGACGACACCAACGTCATACCAATATACGACCACAAAATTTTTTTGCGGTCGTATAAAAAGGAAAGTCCTTAATCACTCACAAACAGAACTGTCATCTTCAGTCACTAGGCATGCTAGGGACAAAGTTTTCACTTGACATATTTAATGACAATAAGAAATCAGATATGGTCACAAGAGTTGAAATTACAAGTTTGTAGTTCCTCATAATGACTGTTGTAGTTTTGTCTACTATGGCCATCTTGCTATGCTACCCTCGTAGCAGAGGAAGATCAACATTGCATGATGCAGAGATGCTGAAAGACACAGGTCAATCCCACATATTTTGGAGAGTATATATACGAAGAAATATTTACGGTCCAGATATAAATACATGGTGCAGTGATCACATTTGTGCATTAGATGAATATCTAAATAATTTTGTTTGAACATATATATCTTATATGTGACTATATTACATCTATAAGTAGTAATTACCTGTGTGTATGTTTTATATTCTATGAGTTTTTCTGTACCTCTGTGTAAAAGTCCTATATGTGGATCACATCTTTCAACAGTCTGAAAATAAAATGTAATGAACTTAAGTAGCCCTCATAAATAAATGTTATCCTGAACATGCATGTAATATTTGTCTCTAGACTTTGCCATAAGACAATACCACAAGACCGTGCCACTAGACGTTTAGCAAACAACAATCTACCAGTATTTTAAGCTCTTTAGACATGTTAGAGATGCCCATCAGAATTTCTTTTGGCCATAAATATTATATATAAATGTAACTATGTTTCAAAATGTTACTGTGCTAAGCAAAAGGCTCAAGATTTTTTAATTGCATATAGACATAATACTTTTTAATGCCCATTGCACCACAAAGGTTATAGTTATAAAATAATTTTAAAAATCAATTATTTTATCTAAACAAATTAAAGCGCTAAAAAATGTACTTCTGACAGTCAGTCAGAGCTCAGACATAAACAAGTTGTTTTTTGTTTTTGACCTACAGAAGTAAAAAAATGTATTTATTATAAAAATGTGTTTGCATTTTCAGATTTATTTAAGTCAGAAAATGACAGACTTGTTTAGGTCTATTTATGTTTATGAAAAAAAGACTTAATTTTAATTGGTGGCCAAAGTGCACCACTTATGACATCATAAACCTGTCTAAGAGTTCACAAGGACCTGAGCTATCTACATTGTATATTTAATTATCTAATTGATCATTTTTACTTAACATAAGATTATTTTCCTCATTTTGTGTGGTTATAGATGGTTGCATTGTAAAGTAAATAAACATTATCTCCGTTTTTTTAGGCTCTTATGCATATTTTTCTTTAGAAGACAAAGCATTGTCCTTCAATGTTGTCATAATTTCATGTAGATGCATGACCTTTTTATAAATATGCTTGGGTCTTGAAGTTGACCAATTTTGGTAACTTATCGACTTGTAGGAGTCAATATTTGCAACTTTTTAATTCTGGTCAAATATTTCTTGCTTAACACTAATTGACTTATTGAAGTCATAATTTGTCTTAAATTAAAGGGAGACAAATCTTGAAACCTACAAATTTAGACCTCTATGAGTCAAAAGCAGATTTAGACTTATTTATGTCTGAGCTCTGACTGACAGTGGGTGTTGTTTGTTGCTACATCTATCATATTTCTTTTTTGTTAATTGTTTTGTACATAAATCATTGTATGTCAGGCCATTAGTAAAGGAAAACTATACTAGAGAATGCAGGGTTGCATAAGAAATTTTAGACAAATTCATGGCATTTTCAGGACAATCTCCTTTTCTGCCCCTTTTTAAAATGAAAAAAATATCGCCATGATAACAATATCATTCATATTTTATAATCATTGACCACTGTTGACAGTCGTCAAATAAAAAAAAAAACTCACTTCTCCATCTAAAACCATAATCATTCTCAATACACCATGAGCTGCTGGATGCTGAGGTCCAAAGTTCATTGTTATGTTTTGTACTTGTTTCTCCAAGGGATGTTCATCCATTACTGATAAAAACATAATAATATGCAAGGTCAATAGGTTAATGGAAAGTTTGTATGGTATAGTACCTGCCACTAATTGTGTAAGTCTATTGTTCTTGTATTGAATCATATTATTAGTAATACCCATACAATATAATCAAAAACAAGCATTCTGAGAGTATTGCATGGCAATACATAGTCCCCCACCGGTTAAGAATTCATTGTACTGGAACAAAATCCTAACTTGATCTATAACTTTGCATGGTGTAAACTAAATACATGTAACAAATATCAAGTCAATATCTTCAAGCATGACGAAAAAAAAGCATTTGAGTGAATTTTCTAAGTCCAAGGACCATAACTCTGCACAACTTGATCTGTAACTTGTCATGATAAAACTATATACCAATTATTAAATCAATATCTTCAAGCATGACAACAAAAAGTGTGGAAAACTGATTATTTGAGTGAATCTTCTAAGTCCAATTAATGACCATAACTCTGCACAAAATCATCAGACCAGAACACAATTTGAACTTGATCTGTAACTTGTCATGATAAAAGTATATACCATATTTCAAATCAATATCTTCATGCACCAAGAAAATAAAATGCTTCGCTGGGGCGCAGCTTGATACGACCGCAGAGGTCGAACCCTGAACAGTTGGGGCAAGTATGGACACAACATTCAAGCTTGATACAGCTCTGAATTTGGATTGTTATTAAATATTTGAAACAGCATAGGTTTCTGACACAGAAAGAATGTGGTCTAAGAACTTGTATTTTTTTAATTTACCTATTATGGTCCAATGTCCAAAATCAAAATACATGGTTAGATTCAGCATATCAAAGAACCCCATATATTCAATTTTTGTTAAAATCAAACAAAGTTTAATTTTGGACCCCAACTTAGACAAACTTGAAAACTGGGCCCATAATCAAAAATCTAAACACATGTTTAGATTCAGCATATCAAAGAACCCCAAGAATTCAATTTTTGCTAAAATCAAACTAAGTTTAATTTTGGACCCTTTGGACCTTAATGTAGACCAATTTAAAAAACGGGACTTTAAATTAAAAATCTAAATACACGGTTAGATTTGGAATATCAAAGAACCCCAATAATTCAATTTTTGATGAAATCAAACAAAGTTTAATTTTGGACCCTTTTGACCTCAATATGAACCAATTTGATAGCGGGGCCCACAAATAAAAAATCTAAATTCATGGTTAGATTCAGCATATCAAAGAACCCCATATATTCAATTTTTGTTGAAATCAAAAAAAGTTTAATTTTGGACCCCAACTTGGACCAACTTGAAAACTGGGCCCATAATCAAAAATCTAAACACATGTTTAGATTCAGCATATCAAAGAACCCCAAGAATTCAATTTTTGTTAAAATCAAACTAAGTTTAATTTTGGACCCTTGGACCTCAATGAAGACCAATTTAAAAAACGGGACCCAAATTAAACATCTAAAAACACGGTTAGATTTGGCATATCAAAGAACCCCAATAATTCAATTTTTGATGAAATCAAACAAAGTTTAATTTTGGACCCTTTTGACCTCAATATGAACCAATTTGATAACGGGGTCCACAAATAAAAAATCTAAATACATGGTTAGATTCAGCATATCAAAGAACCCCATATATTCAATTTTTGTTGAAATCAAACAAAGTTTAATTTTGGACCCCAATTTGAACCAACTTGAAAACTGGGCCAAAAATCAAAAATCTAAATACATGTTTAGATTCAGCATATCAAAGAACCTCATATATTCAATTTTTGCTAAAATCAAACAAAGTTTAATTTTGGACCCATTGGACCTTAATGTAGACTATTTTGAAAACTGGACCCAAAATTAAAAATCTAAATACACTGTTAGATTCGGCACAACAAATAAATAAATGTGATCAAAGATTTAACAAATCTAATGCGCCATACTGTGCAATTAAAGATTACTTCTTGAAATTTTTCAATATTTGAAATTTGAAAAAAAAAATAATATTTGAAGAATAATTCTTTTTAATTTCTGAAATCTGAAATGAGAAAAAATTGACCCCCCACAATTTCTTTTTACCCCCCCCCCCCTTTTTCCCCAAAAAAATTCTTTCCCTCAAGATATGGTGATAATCTCAATTCAAATTTCCAATGGAGTTGGCAACCATAATTACCCATTTAAATTTACTATAGTGCTAACTTAATCTATTTTATAATAGAATTAAAAATATATATAGTGTCAAATCTTTCATATGGATTTTTTGGTAAAAAAAAATGATGCAACATTTGCAGATATTTTTACTGGTCTTCCTTTATAAATATGCATTTCTTTAAACATAATTTAAAAGCAGTGTAAGGGAAGTAACCAAAACGTTGTATTTGGATTACCTCCCTTACACTGTTTTAAATTATCTTTATTGTTCATTAACCATTACTTTATACATAATTAAAAGCAGTGTAAGGGAGATAATTTCAATGATGTATTTGATTTATCTCCCTTACACTGCTTTAAATTATGTTTTGTACTAAAGTATTTGTCCATTAACCAGGACAACCGTGTTTTTCCCCCTTTTTTGCCCCTAATTCCTAAACGGTTTGAGCCATAACCCCCCAAAGCAAATCCTAACCATCCCTTTGTGGTATGGAAACTTGTAGTATAATTTCAGAGAGATCCATACACCGTTCCACAGTTATTGTCTGGAAACTAGAAAATGCTTATTTTTGGCCCCTTATTCCTTAACTGTTGGTACCATAACCCCCAAATTCAATCCCAACCTTCCTTTTGTGGTATTTAACCTTATGGTAAAATTTCAAAAAGATCCATTCACTTAAACTAAAGTTAGAGTGCGAAAACCAATGTGTCTTCGGACGACGACGACGCCAACTTCATACCAATATACGAACACAAAACTTTTTTGCGGTCGTATAAAAAGTGAGAAAAACTGATTTGCCAGACTGATGGATGGACCGAACGACAGACAGACGGAGTACAAACCTAAAGTCCCCTTCGACTTTGCCGGTAGGGGACTAATAAATGTGAAGTACTCAATGGTAATATAAAACAATATAATTAAAATTTGAAAATGTTGTCAATGCTATTACAAACCTTGTTTTTGTCATTTAGAAAGTTTTACCATGTATAGAAAAATCTTTAATAATTATTTGTGAATATGATCCCTTGTAGAAAGGAAATTGCACTAACGTGACTTGCAAGATGATGCAGTTTAATTTTCTACTAAGAATAATATTCACTCATATAAGTGAACTTATTGCTCTTATACTGGTGAATGTAATTCCTTGCAAAATTACATATTTTGGAAACTCCATAAAATATTTGAAATTTTTCTCATACAGATCTTTAAAAAAATAATTAAACCAAAAGATGTTTTTCATACATGTATGTGGTTTTATCTGTTATTTTTTTGTACATTAAATTAATTTGCAAACCTGTAATTTCTGGATATACCCAGTCAGTCTGTTTCTCATTAGGAAAAGCAACTGGACAAAGATATTTTTCTAGATAATCCTTATCTGGTGTCCATACTTTTCCCCCTCTTTCTTGTCTGGAAAAAAATGAAAGAAAAATATAAGAATACATTTGTATTAATCTCACTGAAAAGGACATGTCATGCAATAGTATTTCTGAAGACACATAACATATGATTTATACTTCTAAACAACTCCATTGTATTAAAAGTGATGTTAGTGTGGAATTAGTGTTAACTCTATTGTATTAAAAGTTATGTTAGTGTGGAATTAGTGGTAACTCTATTGTATTAAAAGCGATGTTAGTGTGGAATTAGTGTTAACTCCACTGTATTAAAAGTGATGTCAGTGTGGGATTAGCGTTTCAGGAGGAATACCTCTGAGTAATTATATTTAAAAAAAAAACAGATGTCTGAGAAAATTTGTTAAAGCCAATAAAATCTGTATGAATGGACACCTTTGTTAATTTTATTTACAAAAGTAACTTATATAAGAAATAGTTTTAATAAGCCTCATTTTCAACATTCAATGCAACTTGTATAGGTAATTTTGAAATTTATTTGTTTAAGTAATGCCTGACTGTGTATTTGACTGTTTATTGGTCATCTTACTGTCTCTTAAATCCTATAGAAATATCATAGACTAAGCAACAGTTTAGGAATATGACAGTTGTTTTCACTCATTCTGTTGGTTGATAACGTTCGATTTCATCAGTTTTTATTGACTTCCCCCTGTTTTTAAATACCTTGGAGTTCGATACTTTTGTTATACTTTTTTAAAAACAGAACATTCAAATCTTGAGAAGGAAGGAGCTTAAGTGATGCAGAAAATTAGTATGCAGAAGACTTGAAGCTATGCTAATTTTGTTACTATGGTCACGTTTTGGCTGCAAAATTTGAAAATGAATTACCTTTTCATATTTGGCATGTTTAGTAATGAATTGAAAGAATAAAATATTTTTCATAAGATAAGCACATTAAGGCATAAGATAATACTTGATTAGTTCTGGAAGGTTATTGTTGCAAGATTTTTTACATTTATCATCAAACTTTTAAGTAATCAGATTTTACAAATTTTCATGAAATAGAATGCTCTTTTAGATGTTTTATGAAAAATTCTTGATAGGAGTGTAAAACCAGAATCAACAGCTATGTGGTTGAATTTCTTAGATGACAAAAATCAAACCTTCTACCATTTATGCTCCCATTGGATGCATATTTAAGCAGTTATCAAATTTAAGCTGTAGTCTGACATCCCAGGCTTGTGATACATTCCATTGAAAATATATATTTGTTCAAAGTTTGTTTTGAAGACTGTTAAAGTACTGAATGTGCAATACCAAGTGTATCATAAAATTGAGAATGGAAATGGGGAATGTGTCAAAGAGACAACAACCGGACCATAGAGCAGACAACATAATGACTTTACTATAAATAAATTATTTATAATAAACAAATAATTTAAAAATTGTATGTTTTCGAATATTATAAATATAGTTGTGAAAATAAATAATCAGTCCTTTGCTTTATTAAAAATGAAAATGAAAAATCTTGCTTCAATAGTGCAGAAAATAGATAATCTGTCCTCTTAGTTTACAAAAATAAATAACCGATCCAAAACAAATCCTCCTGGCCCCCCCTCCCCCAGAATATCAAATGGTTGTCCCCTCATAGACAGTCGGTGAGATCCGATCTATTTTAGAATTTGATTAGTCAAGAGACTTTTTTCAATCAGCCAATTAAATTACATGTATTATCAATTACATATGTAAATGTCTGGATATTGTACATGTAAACATTGTTTCATTGTATGTAACAAAGTACAGACACATCTTCATGACCTTGTTAAAATCTCTCAGGGAATTTTTTCCTACAAGATTGGGTCATTCAGGTTGTTTGAGCGTAGTTAAAATACAACCTGATTCCAGTTTATCAGAAAAATTTCAAGAAGTTTCAGACACTTTGATTTCTTAACATTTGTTTCTAGAAACAATTAAATTTTCCTCCCTTTATCATGTTTATAACAACATGAACAATAAAAACCATGGCTGAAACGACTTTACAAAGTCATGAAAGTATAGCAAACTGGCAGAATGGCCAAACGACTGTGGTCGAACTGGCAGCGTGGCCTTCACGTCCTCCATCGATCAGAAATTCTGCAAGATAAAATACAAAATGGCAATTGGTGCAGCTAAGTCAGTAAGTGTGATTTTTGGGTCAAGATTTGCAGTTTAAAATTATAAAGAAATCAGACAAGCACCCCAAGACATGTTGTGTTATGTTTGACTTATGGTTATGAAAATTACCAGCCCACCTCGACAGATGTGTGACAATCTCTCAGTAAGTTTCAAGATGCCTACTATTTTAATGCAAGTTTTGTTATGAAATATGTGATTCAAGGACAAACGTTATAACGTCATGATACTTGTAACTGCATGCAAGAACTGAGTTAAAATAACAGCAAATTACTGTGCATAATAAAGAGGACTTGTTCTTGTCAGCAAGGGCTTCCGACATGCATTGATAACTGCTGGAGAAGCCTTTCGTAACAAGCTTCCCAGCGCTGCCATTTCGGGTTTTGTAATTCCGGAAGTTGTGTGTCTAATAGTAAAGTGTAGATTACGTGACTTTTACTACAGTGAAGTGCTCATTATAGTTTACATCCCTGTCTTTCACCTGTTATATTTTCTTTTCACGGAAAACAAATATAATTCAACAGACAATTGTTATATCACATTACTAAAATTATTATATCAGTCTTTAATATGTTGTATTTTGTATAAGGGATCATTTTTTTCCTGGATCCTAGTTTCACATGTTTCAGGACACATTAATTAATATTAGAGGGTCGAAATGGGGGTACCTTCATAACGAATAACGGTTAAAATTCTTGCCAAATGACGTTAACGGTAATTTGTGGTGCATGACGGTAAAATGTACTCTTTCTTTTAGACGATAAAACAATCGACTGATTTTGACGAATCACGTTAAATTTTCGGTCCAAAAATAACGGTAACGACCTCTGACGAATCACGATAATGATATTTTGACGAATCACGGTAAAATTATAACCAATTTGACGCTAACGGTAGCCGAAAATGACCGTTTGACGCATGACGGTAAAGGGCATTACTACCCTCATATTATGATGTTCATTTTACTACCATCATGTAACATACTGGTTGTACTGTAGATGTTTGATATATAGCCTGGTTCCACAGATTAGTAAGGGTCATATTATTATATATGTCATTTAATTTGAGTTCGATCATAGAATGCTATAGTGAATAATTAGTTACCAGGTTTTATGAATATTGACACTCGTTTATGAAGTACGATACAATACGCTTGGTTGATTATAATGATTTACTATTTGATACGACTTATCAAATGCATGTATTTGTATTTAGTAATATATAATTGCAAGTTTATATATATTATGATCATGATGAACGGTAACTGCATTCTTGATACTCAGTATAGTTTATTGTATACGGAATAGAATATAATATACGATCTTTACGAACAGTATTTATATTCAGTGTTCTAGTATAAGAGTTTAATAAGACTGCATGTGATATTGATAAATGTTATAATCATATATATGCTATTGTTATTGCAGGGTTATTTTCCTACGTTAAATTGTATATGTATATAACAAAGTGATGTCAAAGAACCCTAGACTTGTCGTTTATGGAATCCCCGTAAAACAAGATTATTATATAATTATAATTACATTACATTTCATTATAATACGTTATTTTGATTGGCTAACAGCAATCTCGCGACATTCTGAAATTAATCTTCATTTAAGAATTGGATGCTTATTTTTGTAAATTTATTGGGGTGTAAAAGCATTGACCGAAGTACATTTTGTATGAAGCGCGGAAGCGCTTCATTCTAAAAATGTGCGCACGGTCAACGCTTTTACAACCCTATAAAATAACTAAAAGAAGCATTCAATACCTATAATTAAATTTGTTTGCTAGGATCATGAAAACACGAGTTTTTCATTTGTTTACCTGTGCACTTCATTGTGGAAGCTCGTGTCGTCGTGAATTTTACATTTCATTTTGAAATGAAGGTTGATTTTAGAATGACGCGAGATTGCTGTTAGCCAATCGAAATAACGTATTTTAATGAAACATACATGTAATGTAATTATTTCAACATGAAATGTAACATTCATGATGACACGAGCTTCCACAATTAAGTGCACAGGTAAACAAAAGAAAAACTTGATAAAAATCGTGTTTTGATGATCCTAGCATAAAAATGTAATTATAAGTATTGAATGCGTCTTTTAGTAATTTTATAGGGTTGTAAAAGCGTTGACCGTGCACACATTTTTAGAATGAAGCGCTACCGTGCTTCATACAAAATGTACTTCGGTCAACGCTTTTACATCCCAATAAATTTACAAAAAGAAGCATTAAATTCTTAAATAGAGTTATCTCTCTTTATTCGTTAATTTAAGCCGCAATCTTTCGTCTTTCGTCTTTCTGAATCTTATGTATCCTCCCATCCCCTGAAATCGGCCATTACCTCAAAAAGGCCACCATTTGGAATCCCTAATACGTTTTCACGCTTTCATGGGTTCATTGGATATTTGTTGTCGAGGACGTAACCATGATCTGCTAATTTGCCACCCCCAGTTTTTGTTGGGGTTCGTGTTGCTTAGTCTTTAGTTTTCTATGTTGTGTCATCTGTACTAATATTTGTCTATATTTGTCTTTTTATTTTAGGCCATGGCGTTGTCAGTTTGTTTTCGATCTATGAGTTTGACTGTCACTCTGGTATCTTTCGTCCCTCTTTTGCAGATACAGAAATAGAACGTCTACCATTCTGTTTGCATTGCACAGCGATATCATTCTAATTTGAATGAGATTTAAGCAGACAACTGATATGGAGTTTTTAGTTACAACCTCTTTAATTACTAGTAACTTCTGACAGCCAATTATTTCACGATCAAAACACTGCAGATGGGATAGCTTTTCACAGTACGCTTGTTTAGTTTCTTTGCATGCCATCGTGGGTTTTTTTGCGCAATATAGTACGTAGACCAGTAAAAATATGTTTTATCCTTCGAAAGTGTTACATTCCTTACATATCGTTTTAGGTTACGTGGATCTAGCGCAATTGAAAAATACAAATGAATGAGCAATCGCAACGTGTCGGTACTACATTGGGCATATATATTTTTTTCGGCAATTTATTCATTTTGGGGGTTTGATTTCTTAAAAAATAATAATCTGCTATAAATCATGATAAGTGTGCTCATTATTCTGTATGTTCCCAGTGGCGCAGCTATGCGGAAGCTCGGAAGCCAAGGCTTCATCATCGTTTTGTCAAAAACAAAAAATCATAATAAAAAAAAATAAAAAATAAAAACGAGCTAGAGGTATGAGAGAGAGGGAGAAAGTGAAGGGGGAAATAAATTGGCACTGTGCGGTTAAATAAACAATTTCTTTGAGGAACAATATATATTTTTTCACAAAATAATCCGACTTGTATCAAACAAAAATGCTTTTGACTACACCTTAACATTCAATATTTTTAGTTAAATTTGTGGGTCTAAAACCCTAAAGTCCAGGAGCTTCCGGGGGCTTCGCCCCCTGACCCCCTACCAGGACTTTGCCCTGGACCCACTGGGGGCCTTGAGCTGCCTCCAGACCCCCTGCCGATTTGGGCTTCACCTTCAACATTTGTCTAGCTACGCCACTGGTTCCTGTCCCAAGTCAGGGGCCAGTAATTAAGTAGTTATGATTGGCTGCTGTATATCAATTTTTAAGTGTTTTTCGTTTATTTTTCTGTACATAAATCAGGCCAATGTTGTTTTTTTCTTGTTTGAATTGTCTTGTATTCTGTCGTTGTTGAATGATCGTACGATGAACGTTATAGTTACTTAAATCTACGTCATTTGGTCTATTGAAGATAGTTGTAAAAGAATTTGCGAAAGATACCAAAAGGACATCCAAACTCATAAGTCGAAAATAAACTGACAACGCCATGGCTAAAAAAGAAAAAGACAAACAACAGTACACAAAACACAACATAGAAATCCAAAGACTTAGCAAAACGAACTCCACAAAAAAACTGTGGGTGATCTCAGGTGTTTCGGAAGGGTAAGCAGATCCTTCTCCACATGTAGCACCCGTCGTGTTGCTCATATCAGTACAAACCCGGTGACAAGTCTATTTCGGTAGATCACATTCGGGGAAAAGGGGATGGGATTGTAGTTACGATAATTTGAACATATCCGTCATCGCCAGTGAAACAGATATTCCATAGCGGTCAACCAACTTGTGATGGCGTCCGTATAGAGACGAAGGGATGATTCCAACTTCACCACTTGGAACTCTTGGTTTTAAAGCTTCCTTGTGAGCAGCAACCCTCTATCAAAGAAATCATGATAGGAAATACAAGCCTTGGAATATCGTATCAACTGGAAGACATACGCAAACGCTGCTGGAATGTTGCTACATAGAAATAGAAAGTTCACAATTGGGAAGCTGAAATGATCTCTTTTGTCGTAAAGTTTTATTTTCAACCGACCCTCATTGTCAATTTCTATATGTTAGTCAAGATATGAGGCAGACTTAACTGTATCTGTTGTATCCTTTATCTCAAGTTCGATGGGTAGATGCGTTCAACACAGTCACCAAGTTTTTGTTTGAATCAAAGTTATTTTTTACAAAGTACTATTCATCCCTCCCTAAGACAAGATACTTGTATCTACTTTGGCCATTCTTTTTTATGAAACAAAGCAGAACCAACTCTTTCAATTTGTCTTTTAGTTCAGTGGCTGTCGCATGTTACTGTATATCTTATTTGTTTTTCATTTATTTATTCGTTTGTACATGAATAAGGCCGTTGATATTTTCGTTTGAACTGTTTGACATTTTGTCATGTTTAGGCCTTTTATAGCTTGCTATGCGGCATGGGACTTGCACATTGTTGAAGGCCGTACGGTGACCATTAGTTGCTAACATCCGGCGTTTGGTCTCTGCATAGGTGTCTCATTGTCAATCATACCACATCTCCTTACTATACGTAGATAACAGGCCACAACCATAAGAGAAAAAATATATATATATATATGGTCATGCGACAAAAAATGAAAAAAAGTCTTATTTAATTTGAGAGTAATGGAAATGTAATATAAGATGCGTAAAAAAAGTAATACTAATGTCGAAAGTCTCGACGTCTCTTATGTAAATCATAGCTTTACTTTGAATACTTTAGAAATTTGGTTTTTGTTCAGATGTGTGTGTCCTTCCTATAAATATACAAAATTTACCACTTCAATTGAGATTGTCCTTTCAAGTCATCTTTTAACTAATCATTTATAATTTTTGTATAAATCGGAATAAAACATAATGTTGCTAGAATTTCCAAGTCATACATAAAGTTGCGATACTGTGACTTATATTCGACAAAAAGCTCGTCAGAGCTTGTGTTTGAAATGTTTGTCAATATGCCGAATCAAAATTAAGTTTTACTTTCTTGCGTATACTAGTGAATATGAAATACTTTTTAATAATGATTCTGGTGTGAAATACAATCAGGATAAATTGGCCTTTGACCTCTTGACGGTAA